AGAGCGAGTCATCGGGGAGGAGTATGGGAGCGCCTAATACGGTCCGTCAGACAGATTTTACGTTCAATTTTGGGCTCACAAGTGGTCCCAGATGAGGTCTTCGTAGCACCCATAACCGAGACCGAGAGGATAATGAATGACCAGCCACTGGTTAAGAACAGTACGAACCCGAACGAGTACGCTGTACTCACTCCCCAACACTTTTTGCTGAGTAGTACTCGGAGACTTTCATCATCTGTTGAGAAATGCAACCCCTCTAGACTTAACCGACGGTGGCGCCAAGCCCAACATCTGGCAGACATATTCTGGAAAATGTGGATCAGTGCCTACATTCCATCGTTGCAAGCTAGACAAAAGTGGATCGGTGAGGCCCCACAACGCCGTATTGGAGATCTGGTTCTTTTAATTGACAAAGTAGCACCACGAGGACATTAAAAGAAGGCTGTAGTGGAAAAGCTGCTCGAATCAGAGGAAGGAAGGCTGAGAGATGTTGTACTGAGAACGCAACAAGGCAAATTAGTGGGAGACGTGTACGCAGTTTGTGCCTGTTAGAGAACCACGAACCAAGCGATGAATGATACCCGCGCCAACGACAACCGCAAGTCTTGCGTGGGAGTGTACGTTCCCACGTATGTTGTCCCTTTTTGACAGTTTTTACCGCATACTTTAAATTTTTTGTTTGCCTCGGAAAAGTATGACCTTCTTTTTTCCTCCAACCCTCGTACTACTTGTTTGAATCTCCCGTTTTCTTCACGCGCAACTTGACACTGCCCGTCTGACTATGCGCCACATCTTTCTGGCTGTACGCCTGGAGACATTTGATTGTAAGTGTTACATCTAAATCTTGCTAATCATGTTAATTATAGAGCAGTGTTTCCGTACAATTCTGCGCTTATTTACACCGTTTCCACGTACGTACCGCACGAAATAAGCCGACTCAGGCGACTAAATCTAGACAGGCTAGAAAGCAGCTAGATCCAACAGACTCTGTGTGAGTTACGCGAATGGGCCAACAGTTGGCGGTCGAACGTACTCCACAAGAGGGACTGGAACTCTGGTTGGCAGACCGGGCGGAACCTTCAGGCCGGCGACAAGAAGGCTGACCGAAACTCTCAACAATCAACGCACGTTGGAGAAAGTGGGCATACTTTCGCCCTCCAGGAGGCTACCATCTTGTGCCGGGGAAACGAAAGCAGTACGGCTAACATTCCAGGCGTGATACTTTAATGCGAAGTCCATCGACAGGCACCTTGGACTTCCCTCAGCTTACAAAGTCCTGCGTCACCACGTTCGCAATGCTCCGGACAAGGCGACCACACAGAACCTAAGTAGGCCATACAGAGGCAGTCCCATGGCGAATTTATTGGACGAGGAAGAAAATGAACCGCCAGACCCGACAGAGGTCCAATCACCTCCGACTAAGTAGTGACTCATAAAGTACGAGGTTAAAACGTTAGCCAACCATCCCTGAGGCCGCGGCAAAAAGAGGAAACTCGATCAGCATGAGGCCGACCAACACGACATGCCAGTCCATTTCCTGGTCGATTAGGTGCACTTTACGCCTTGACAATGGAGAGCCGACCAAGCTCTTCGAAACCTAAACACCCAAATAAATCTGTTCCAGCGACCTCATCTTCTTCCTCAGACCAAATAGCAGACGAGATGGCTACAAAATGCAAAAGCTAAGACGACGCGTAAGCAGAGTGAAACGTCCCCTAGCCAATGCAAACAGAAGGCATACACTTTTCTTACGGTGCAATTCAGGAAAATGACACAGGCATGGGAGAGAGGTGCGTCCCTCGTCACATGATCCTTACCCCAAATCAACCTATTAGCTGCAATCCCTTCAGGCCAGTGGATCAAATTAGGTCACTTCGGAGAAGCAGGATTTCTCTGCAGAAAACATCTAAGTCTCCGAAGCTTCTATTTTTTAAAAAAGGTGTTAAACGTACAAAAATGGCATATAGGCGAAGATGACGAGACTGTCAGTATAAAAAAATATTTGGCCTCTCAGTGCGATGGTTCAGGTTCCATGCTGAGGTATCCCTGGAAGAGAAAGGCCATGAAACAACATTACAGGTCACACCAGCATAAATAAATAAACCGCAAAACGTTCCTCCACGTATCTGACGATCGGCTGTGACATATGTTTTTCGTGATAATGAAGGAAATTTAACCCGAAAATCAACTCCGGTATTTGCAAAATGACTTGACAGTGTAAGTGCTGCATCATTGCCCCACCACTCCCAGAACAGTTTTCTTAGAACAGGCTTCCATGCGTGCCAAGAGGAGGAACCGCAAGCATCAGTCTTTATTGACGAGACACGTAAAAGACCACTTTTGGCGTCAAAATGTTCACTTAGGGCTTTGTACAGCAAACCAATATGCGATCGCCGCTAGTTATGCAAATAAGTCAGCTATAGCCACTCTCATCACTCTGTTTCTTGAAGGTAACAGCAGGAAGGTTTACTTTGACGCGAAAATGAGTAGCAAGCACACAAATATCAGGCCGGGGTGAAGCCAAATTCGTGTAAGCCTACATAAACGATGAGGCATGATGGGGGCAGAAACAGAACCGGCGGAGGTAACAATCGGGAGATGGCACCCAAAAAAATCCGTTACCTAGAAATAATACCTTTAACAGTGGACTCAAACGCCTTCAGGCTATATCAGCGGTTGCAGGCCTACTTTCACGCACTACTTCGACTTTCGCCAACGGCCTAACATGGGCTGGCCGAACGAACATCGCAGGAGGTTACAAGGTCGCTGTTACCCAACCTTCCCCATCGTTACACACGTACACCTGAATATACGGCATACATTCGCATTATGGCAGTGTATTACAAAACAAAATCACTTCTACATAGGATAAGTCTGCACAACATAGGACAGGAACAGTTCCCTGCATCTGTCAAAGACATGGCATTGAGGCCAAACCAAAGACGATACTGTACTTTGTCTCTGTGGGCCCACACATCTTGACCACATACTGGGCCTCCCTCGTGAAGTTTCCTTCTCATTCTACTCCAGTATGCCTCAATGGCATTGGTGTGCCGTCCGGCGGTAGGGTCTTTGAAGTTCTTTGATTGGTTAACAGAGAAATGTAGATGACCTTCTGAGGGAAGACGGTTATACGCCCTCCACTCGTCCGTTATCACTATGCTGTCTTTGGCGACCCATTTTGTAATAACGGAACGGAGAGCGGGCCAACTTCGATCATTCACCTGCTCAAATAAGGCTTCCTGTCGGCTAGTAGCGTACATCCCCATCAGCCATCACCCATAAAACCCCTGTTACCACCTGTCCCGTAAGACAGGCTGCTTTGGTTAGGCCGATTTTTTTGGGTGCCATCTCCCGATTGTTACCCCGGCGGAGAACAAAGACGCGAGTCCAAAACAGCTGGCTACAGGCGCAACTGACCTGTCCTCATGTAAGAAGAGGCATTTGTTGTGACTGAAATGTCCAAGTGTGGTATCATCGTGCTCGCATGACAGAGTTGTGCAATTTGTAAGACACCCAAAACTGCTCGCGCTGGGAGTCGTGTGTAAGCGCCGTCATTATGCCAGTCGCTTTGTTTGCTTCTTCGAGAATGAAATGTCCCAAGGTCACTCAATTTCGTACAAAAACTGCTGTCGCACAGCAACCCTCCGCAGTTAGTCCCAAATTAGCTGACCGTCCCCGCCATTCGGTCGACTGAGGATCGGGCAGCACAGTCCTCTCTCTCGTTTCTCTGGCGTTGGTGAAAGATTGCCTAGGTTATAACTACAGTCAAGGCCGCCGCATGAGCAATACAATTATGCAGGCCAGTCCATCGGTCGGAAGAGACTGACTCTCCTAACAGCCAGCCTCCATCTGCGGTCAGGGAATAATCAAAATCCCACTCAGACCGAAGTCCAATGCAAAACCTAACCGCCCCCATCAAATGGGCCGCGAAAGAGCAAGAAAGACCTCTTCGATACAAAAAACCCACAGTAGATGTGCTATCTCAGGAAAAGTTAACCGAAATTCCGAAATGCGTTCCCGACTCTAAAGGATTACTCTAGTAGGGTTGCAATATTAATCTCCGCGCGGCAATTTATCAAAATAATTCAGATACTTCAAGCTTTCGGCTTTCGACCGAGCTCCTTGTCGACCACTTGCGTAAAATGCACGTTGTCAAAATGGTTGCGTAAGCAGCTTGAGCTTCCCTCATTTATTTTCGATGGCCTTACAAATTTAAACATATTTGACAGAAAATATGCGCGAAAATATTCCTTCCTTTAGTCATTTGACAGCAAATTACGTCTTCTCCAAAGTTTACACTTGAAGGAAGAGTGTCTTGCGGTTTAAAAAGGGTCTTTAAGTATGGGATTTTCCATAAATGTGAGATGTCCAATCACATCAGTCCATCTATTACTGCTGCTTATAAATTGGACAACGTTGTCAACGTTCATTGCTAAATTTTGTGAGCCTTATACATTTGTTCTTTTTAATAATACGTAGAAGTGTATGAAGTTCCCCGCAGGAAAACTGCGCGGCTTGTAGTCTGGGAACCCTAAATGTAAGTGATTGAAGCCGTCGGTTTCAAAATTATTCGAGAATTGTGAAACTTTCTTTAAAACCGGAAGATTCTCTTTCTTGCAGCACAAGGATTTGAAGATGTAATTTGCTAGCAAAGGAGTAAACGGAAGAATATTTTTTGCTTTTTTTTCTATGAAAGCATCGAAATCCAATCGTGAGAATTCATACTACTCAAGTAGTCATCTTCTAAAAAATGCAGTTTACACGGGCGGTCGAAAGCCGGCATACTGATGTGACATGACGACCCTACTAAAGTAATCTTTTCGAACTGAAAACAAATTTTCGGATTTCAGTCGGCATTTCATGAGATAGCATATCCACTGTAACCGCGTGCTCAACAATCACAAGTCTTCGCCATAGCGGGCAGGCCCAACATAAGAAAAGCTCACAAAACATCAATTTTTATCATTTTCGTTATTTTTTATTATTCACTATAAATTATGTCGCCCTCATCATGGACTATCCTCGTGGCTGGAAACCAACGCGACAACTCGTCTACCTGTAAGCAGGCTACAGGACAACGGCAGTACGACTACACTCCGGCGCCCTGGCTCCATGAAGTGATTGAACGAGCGTGGAGAGACGAGGTCGTTCCTGATGACTGGAGCTTAGGCATCCTTGTACTTATCCTCAAGAAGGGAGATACGACGAAATGGGAGAACTACCGCGGCATAAGTCTCATCGACGTTGCTGCGAAGAACATTGCTATTGTCCTACTCAGGCGATTCCAGGCTGTGCGTGACTCAAGGACGAGGCCCAACCAAGCCGGATTTCGTGCTGAACGTGGATGCGCAGATCAGATATTCACACTGAGGCGCATTCTCGAATTTGGCCATAGCTACCAACAACCGACGGCCGTTTGCTTCGTTGATTTTGCCGCCGCGTTCGATTCGGTTCAGCGTGAGTCTCTGTGGCGGATAATGGCGCTAGATGGTGTACCGGCAAAAATCATCGCCATGATCAAGGCCTACTATCGCTCCACTACTGCGAGAGTCCTGGTCCGTAACAATCTTTCCCAACCGTTCGCTATTCGGTCTGGCGTCCGACAGGGTTGTATCCTGTCATCCATACTGTTCAACTACGCTATTGACTGGATCCTCGGGAGGGCCCTACGCGACAGTGACGGCGTTGAATTTGCACCCGGACATCGACTGACTGATCTCGACTATGCCGATGATATCGTCTTACTTGCTTCAAGTTTTGGTGATCTGCAGTCGATGGTGTCACAGGTGAACGAGAACGCTGAATCAGTCGGTTTGTCCATAAACGCTGGGAAGACCAAAGTATTCTCAAGCTGCATCCCTGACCAGGAGAAGGCACCCCTGGGGATTGATGGCTGTCAACTTGAAGAAGTGGACAGTTTTAAATACCTCGGGGCGAGGCTGCTGCCTAATCGACAGAGCAAGGACGACATTGTCTCCCGAATCGACGCTGCCCGCTGGGTTTTTTCAAGCCTTCGGAAATGCCTGTGGGACCGACGTGACCTCTCCATCGCCACTAAGATTCGCGTGTACCGTGCATCTGTCCGGTCTGTCCTTCCCTACGGTTGTGAATGCTGGACTTTGCGCGTGGAGGATGAGCGAAAATTGGAGGTATTTGACCACCACTGCTTGAGGACCATCCTTCGAGAGCTTACCATGCATCTATTTCACAATTCTATCCTGACTTCGGTTCGCGTTCTCAGGTTGCAACTTCCGAGGACAAATGGCGATGAGGAAAGAGACTGGTGTCTGCTCAACAACAACAACAACCTTCCTATCCACACTGAAAACTACCTCATTGTTGTCTCCAGGTCGATCTTGCGCCGACCGCAGAGGGTTCGACGTCAGCCACGAGCTTACCATGCATCTATTTCACAATTCTATCCTGACCTACACAAGGACGAATCGTCCGTATCATATCCTACAATCAGCACAGATGAAGGGACATTTCACCCCTACCCTAATGCTTGTCTGACGCCATGTATTGCAGTTGGTGACAGCTAGGGAGACTCCGCCGTCTACCGTGACCGTGCTCCTCCACATGCCGGACGAAAACCTTTACTGCCTGGAGCTGCTAGATTCCCAGCTCGTTTCGCCTGCCCCAGACAAACCTCGCGCTACGACCACAAATTTGACCGTAACGCCATCAATGAGGTCGAAGTCGGCAACGCGCGGACGACGATAAACTCTAACTTCAGGTTGGCTTCTCAGCGCGCCCCGAATTAGAAGTGCCAAAATTCACAACACGAGCGATACTGAACAGCAGTGAATCAAACCTGGACGATGCCCAAACAACCATGCTGGTCGAAAGTCGTCTGGAGTCTATTATCCACACATTACGGTAAGATAGAAAACGGTCGGTGGGGGCGGCGACAAAGCTAGTGGTAATGAAAGTCACGGCACGGCGGTCTGTGGCACCTTGTTAAACTCGGCACAAAGACACCAGCGCTCCAACCAGAGGGCAGAGCCACTGTGCGTTCATCTGAAAGCAGGTGGTTAGGTTGCACCA